ATTTATTCCAATTCATCAAAAATCATCCCACATTCCATCATGTAAACAGCCTCTAAGGTCTACATCTGTTCAGGAGGTAGGAAAAGTGCAATTTCAATATCAATATCAAGCACCTTGCACAAGGTAGAAAGGCAGCTAAATATTCTAATTCTACTTTCTTGGCATGGGCAGTGTATCTGAATATATTCAATGCTTATAACTTCTTGCTTTTGTATGTATAGTTATAATACTGTCAGTGGTGAAGATAGCCATAGCAACAGGTCATGCTATGCAAGCTTTTAATGATTTGCATTATTCAAATAGATGCAGGTTTATTGGCATGGCATGACCAGTTGCCATGGTAGCTAGCTTGCCACTGAATACTGTACAAAATCATATTAATATATATAAACAATAATGATACTTGAATAAATCATTGGACATGTAGAATTTAATAAAAATTCCATATATAGAAATATTAAGTCAGTTTTTGTCCCCATTATTGTTTTATTGCAATAATGGCCCTATTGCAAAACAACTGAACAATCTGCTGATGCTTGATGGGGAGACAAAATCTTTTGTTGACAGTTTTGTTCCATACGTCAGCTTCTGATGACACCATTCATATTTGTAATGATTAAGATTGTACTCAGTCAGAACAGCAAAACTATATAATACAATTGTGAGCATTATCAAAAAATAAAGTATACCCTTCAGGAGGGGCCAATTACATGGAGCATTTTCAACCCCAAGGTTGAACTCAGCCCTGTCTACTGGGTTGAAATTTCAGCCATGTCTGTAATACAAAACTCTATCAAAATCAAACACGCGATTACATGACAAAATTTTCAACCCAGGGCTGAGTTCAACCCCGGGGTTGAAATTTCAACCCTGCTTCAGCTAGCACAATTTTGTCATGTAATCTTTTTAACCCAGGGCTAAAATTATCATGACTTATTCGAGCATGCGTGGCAGTGACTATTTATTACAAGAAAACAAAATGAGGGCTTTTTTACTTAAATCTCGGGAATCGATGCCGAGAACATGTAGTATAGCGTTTCAACCCCAGGGTTGAAATCGTCCATGTAATCGCAAAAAAATGCAACCTGGTTAACAGGGCTGAGTTCAACCCCGGGGTTGAAAGTTTTCCATGTAATCGGCCCCTGAGTACTGTAGTGACACAGCCAGGTGAATATATAAATGTAGGCTGCTAGGATTATTTCATATTATGCTAATAATGGACGTATCTCAGAGATATATTTTTATGGACCGTCATATACCTTTTACAAAAGTCGGTTGACATGTTATTACATGTAACTGCTGGTAAGTTTAATAATATGTGCAGACAACAATCCACACTGGGTCGCTATAGGAATATCTTGTACAACTAGTCAGATAATTTTTCAATGGTATACAATTGTGTGTTCCGATACAGGCACGATACTGGCATACTGCTCAATTGATATTCCCATATAACAACAATATTAATAATAAACTATCACTGTGATTATTTATACCTTGAAGAACGATGCTCAATCAAGCTCAATCAGATTTTTTCTCGGTTACAAACTGACTCCGATCGACGAGCTCCACTTGTTTATAATTATATGAAAACTTGTATGCACCTAAAATTTAATAATTTAACTACAGTTAATTCATTCGTTTCAAGTTTCAACGGGTAAAATACTTCGACCAAAACACATTGTTATTTGTGATCAAACGTATATCTTACCTTGAAAAATATTTCCATAAACAGCCAGAGAGCCAGACATTGAGACATACAAAAATTTGCAACGAGAACGAGGCATACAAATTGTCATGGTCCATGGTGGTGTTCGTGAGGTTCAACCAGGGTATTCGGAAAGTCAAATCGCGATCTGGAGTATGTTATTTCTACTGTAAAATTTCTGTGACGTCAAAATACGTCATAAATCTGATCATCCAAACATTCGTACATTGATAAAATCGAGTTGTCGTTCGGCTATACATAACTCGGCCAAAGAGACTGGGCACACGTAAACGCAATACTTCATGTTAAGAATAGTGTGCTGCCTTCGGCAGCAATTATTCAAGCACTTTAACCTGCGAAGGACTTACTGTATCGACTTGAAATTTGCCGGGAATACTTGTAGTATGGATACACAAAATATATAAAATGGGCAACGACATGTTAAACGCTTAAGCTTTTAGAAATTTCATGACGTTACATGCAAACACTCTATATAGGCTTCAATTCATTTGTATTGGCTGCCGTCGGGAATTTTAATCATATGCCTTCATCTCTCTCAAATCCTGGTTTACTTTGCGAAATTAAATGGCAAATAACAATGAGAATATTTGCGATAGTTTGGCAGAGAACAAACTTAACACTTTTTCTTTCACACAGCGCATGTCACGCACAACTAATATAATTTCGATTTCACGAAAAATAAGATATATTTTTTCCAGATTTTATGCCGATATGGAATATAAAAATTTAGTGTAAATTTGGAATAATAAATGAGCTTTCGCCTGTTCTGATTGCCCAGTTGACTAGTAAATCTGGGGCATTATTTACTAGCGGACTAGTAAATAATGCTTTTCAAAAAGAATGATTCGCCAAATTTTGTTTCAAAATTGATAAAATTTCGAAAAAATCGTCCCAGAAAATGAAAAAGATCTAAATGTTGTATTTACAATGTAAGTTGAAAGATAGGATTTCCTCGTTATTTCACTGTGTCAAACATATTCACGGACAATTTAAAACTTTTTTAAAACTCCGAAACACTCGCTTCAAACAATTAGCAAAAACTATCCCGGCTGTTGGGAAAAAGTCATGATATTCTTTTTAAAAAATTTTTGTTTTGTATCCTATAAATTTCCCAATTTGTATTTTCCACGATGCTATTTTTTTTGATATGTCATGTTTCTATTGTGCTGTATTGTGTTCTGTCCGCTGTATTGCATTTACTGAAGAAATTGATGCTAAACAGAAACTATTTAGCTTAAATCTATGTCGGGTGAAAGAGTGATTCCGTTATTTTGTTTATATTCCAAGTAGAAATCGAGAAAAACAACTTCGTGATAAAGCAATAAAGTCACACAAGGCGCCATTTTAAAACCGTGTATGGGTATTCATGAAACACTGCAGCACTATTGGTGAACAGGCCAAAAACAGTCTTATTTCCGAAATTTAATTGAACTGATATTCGGATATTTCGTTTTATCCATTAAAAAATTATACTAAAACAATTATTCGCCCCAGGCTCAGTGATTAAGGTGAATATTCACCAAGACGTCGTCTGGATGATTATTCACCGGTAATGACTTCGCCTACGGCGAATAATTGTTAACTGATTAATGTTTCCGGTGGAACAGGGTGGCGCAGTGGAAGCGTGCTGGGCCCATAACCCAGAGGTCAATGGATCGAAACCATTTCCTGCTATTGTTATTATGCCCAAATGTGCTTCCGAGACAATAAGTTTCGAAAAAAATAACACCGTTAACATGACTTGCTCCTGTGGCCCAGTCGGTTAGTGCGTCGTACTTATAAGCAGTACTGAAGTATATGCGAAGGTCGAGGGTTCGATCCTCTCCGGTAGCAAGTTTTTAGCCCTTTTTCCCTAACCATTATTTGGAAATATTTACTATCGATGCAGTAGCAATGTTGATAAAATATTGCATGAATTCGTTTAATCAAGTTGACCAATTCATACGAAGTCAAATTTCTTTTTACTTCCTGTGTGTTTCTTATTGGTCAATCGGTTCTGAAACGAAATCTAATTGACTCATCTAAAAGTAACACGAAGTTGAATTGATCAATTTGGGAAGCAAGTTTTTAACCATTTTTCCCTAACCATAATTTGTTAACATTTGATGAAACAATAGGTTGAAATATTCGAGTTCGAATATGGAATTCAGAAAATGGCAACTACTGGCAGCGGTGGAATTCGAACCACGTCATCGAAATGACTGGTGCCTAAAACCACCGCCTTAGACCACTCGGCCACGCTACCATTTGGGATGTGGTACGACACTTCTTCAACAATAAGTTTCCAGAAGTCATCAAATAACCCCCCGAACGTTAATTTGAAGTGGAGAAATTCATTAGTGAGACGTCAAAAATCAAATGGTTCTGTGGTGTAATGGTTAGCACTTTGGACTCTGAATCCAAGGATCCGAGTTCAATCTCGGTAGAACCTCAAGTCTAACATTGTTTCCTTCTTGTTGTTCCGGTGTACTCAATTGTTGTATATGGTTTCTTCTTCGCCCGAATATATTTCATCCGGAACGACTCTTCTCCAATACACCCATTTTCACAAGAAGGAAATGCCATGGAAATCCTATAGAGTGTTTGGATGCGACGTCATAAAAATTCTAAAAGATTAAGCGTTTAACACATATAGTTGCTTATTTTATATATTTTGTATATCCTTACTACAAGTATTCCTGGAAAAATTTCAAGTCGATACAGTAAATCATTCGCAAGTTAAAGGGGCTTGAATAATTTATATTGCAGACGTCAGCATTATTTTGAAAGGCCGTTATAAGCTACGCGGTTTTCCAAACCCAAGTTGAAATAGTTCGGTGGACTTTCACATGCTTTATATATTTAACATCAAACACAGTTGTGGACCTGTGTGATAAAATATATCTTTCCTTGGGCGTTTACTACACGGCCGCCATGTTCGTGGTCTGAGATTGCGTAATATTGGACCACCAACATGGCGGCCGTGTAGTAAATGCTCAAGAAAAGTTATATTTTATCACGCAGGTCCATAATTATGTTTGATTTTAATTATATAAAACTTTTGAAAGCCCACCGAACTATTTCAACTTAGGTTTGGAAAACCGCGTAGCTTGCAGTATAGCGGCCTTTCAAAATAATGCTGGCGTCAGCAATATAAATTACTCAAGCCACTTTAACCTGCGAAGGAATTACTGTATCGAAATTGGTAGTATCGAAATCGACTGGAATTGACAAAATTCCAGCTAGGGTTCTCAAAATCTCAGCTGATATAATTGCCCCATCTCTAACAAAAATGTTTAATCTTTCATTACGTACTGGCATATTTGTTACTGATTGGAAATTGGCACGTGTACAGCCAATGTATAAATCTGATGACAGAAGTAAATGTGAGAACTATCGTCCAATTTCTATTCTTCCTCTTGTTAGTAAAAATTTCGAGAAGGAAATTTTTAATCAACTTTATGACTATTTATCTGAAAATTCACTTCTTTCAAAATTTCTATCTGGATTTAGACCCAAACACTCAACTTTATCTTTACTTATCCAAATGTGTGACAAATGGTTAGAAAGCATGGATGATGGCAAAATAACTGGCCTTATTTCAATGGACATTAAAAAAGCATTTGACTCTATTGATCATGAAATTTTAATGTCTAAAATGAAAAATCAGTTTGGTATTTATGATAATGAGTTAAATTGGTTTGGTTCTTAT